AGCAGGCTGTGGGGGCAGCCTGGTGGGGGGGGTGCAGCAGGCTGTGGGGGCAAGAGGGAGGCTGCAGAATTGGAGCCTGCCTGGCAGGGGTCGATAAGGGGAGTAGGGGAGAGGCCCCAGAGCCAGAGGTGTGGGGTAGTCACATGAGTATTGGGAATGGCTTTTCTCTTCTCTGTGGGGTGAGGAGAACGCACGTGCCCTCTCTTTCTAAGCAGCTGGGAGGAGGCTTTTTTTTTTTTTAAATAGGGTGACATTTCAACCTGAAATGATCGTACGTACTCACTGTCTGGCAGAGTACAGTGAAAAGCCCAAAAGGCGGCCCAAACAAGAAGGCTTTGATGGTGATTTTAAAATGTCATGGATTGTGGGGCCAATGTCCCAAGTCATATTTTTTGAACTCCTGAAGATTGAGTCTTGCATTCAGCCTGGGCTTTTGTCATCTTGACATTATCCTGTTCTACGTCCCACTGAAATGGTTGGTCTCTAGAACTCATAAGTATCACATCCATGTTAACTGGAATGGAGCAAGGGTTTAGTTAAGAAAGCATTACTACTCCCTGTTAACTAAGTCAGTGTTTAAATTATTTGCTTGTTTTTGCAGAGGGCATTGATGGCAGACCTGAGATTAGACGCCTGGGTTCCTGGCACCCATTTTAATCCTTGTGAGATGGCCACAGTCTTAGCTGACCCCCAGGTTTCTCCATAGCTAACAGCATGAGCTGTTGCAGTTTGAGCGAAAGAGCCAACATACTGTGTAGCTGGAACTGTAACAGATTCATGTGCGCTGTGGATCAGGTGTGGAGGGGGCAGTGGTTTTCAAATTTTTTTTTAAATCATGGCCCAGTTGAAGAAAATTGTTGATGTCTGTTGTGACCCAACATAATTTGACTAGAGTGTGGGCTCTGGGTGGGGCTGAGGATGAGAGCTTTGGGGTATAGTAGGGGACTCTGGCTTTGGGAGTTTGCGTGTCAGGGCTGGGGCAGGAGGCTCCCAGTCAGCAGTGAAGCAGGGCTGCTAAGGCAGCTTCCTGCCTCTCCTCCCACCTCAGACTCTGCTGTGCCCCAGAAGCAGCCAGCAGCAAATTCCCAGCCAATGGGAGTGCAGAGCTAATGCTCTGGGCATAGGTATTGCACAGAAACTTGTGCACTCTCCCCATCTCACACCCACACACCTAGGGACCGGGCAGCACCCCCACTGGTCACCTGATCCCTCTGCAGCAGTGAGACCCAGTACCTGACATTCCTCAACGCTTTCCATTGGATCTTCAGTAGCAAAAATAGTACCATTCTTTTGTCTGTTAAGAACAGTGGAGATGATATGCAGAAGGGCTGATAAGAAGTGTATGGGGGAGAGGGGAGAGAGAGAGAGAGACCGACTGACGAAACAGTGTCTTGCATTCTCTCCAGCATGGAACTCTTTAATGCTGCCAAAACCAACTCTCCTCTGGCTGGTGTGTGTGCGGGGATGTGAGGTTTCCTTTAGGAATTTTTAAATAACAAGATGACTGTAAATGTTTCCATGCATGCCTTGTTCTGGCCTTATCTTAAGGCTCTGTTGAGCTCTGCCCACCCACAGAGTGAATAGCTGAGATGAGTTGATGTTTTTACTGCCTTTTGGCAAGTAAAGCTGACACCTAATTTCAAAGCACAGTGGATCTTCTCCATGATCCTCAGTTCTTTGGCTTCTCTGCTCCTTCACTTTCCGCTGTTCTTGTGGACTATTTCCCATGCGTCTTAAATTCTTACTTCCCCAGTCCGAGAAGTGGGATGAGATGCAAGGATGGGACCTGTGTTTATGCCCCATCAAATACTAAGATGAAGTGCTCCTCTGTAGCAACATGTGATATAAACTACTGGGTATTGAGTCAGGCTCAGCTGTGAGAATAGGATCAGGTGCTACCCAGATCTGTCTCTCACAACAGAGCTAATCTCTCAGTGCTGGGAAACATCAGAACCTTTGCTTGGCAGCTGAAGGTTATGTGGTAGTATTTGTGTGACTGGTCCCCATTGTTTTTCCTCTTAGATCTTGATTTGACGTGAGATCTCATCCTGCAGCAAATCTTCTGGTGGCCTGCTTCGGTCCTTCGTGAGATGTTCCAACCCAGACTCTTCTGTGAGTGCCCAATTAAAAGCATTTAGGCATTTGGAACCACTAAGCATGGCTGTGTCTAGACTGCATCGCTTTTCCGCAAAAGGGATGCAAATTAGACATATAGCAATTGCAAATGAAGTGGGGATTTAAATCTCCCCCGCTTCATTAGCATAAAAATGGCTGCCCTTTTTTTTTGGCACGGAGCTTTGCCGGAAAAAAGTGCCAGTCTAGACGCGGATCTTTCGGAAAATAAAGCCTTTTCTGAAAGATCCCTTATCCCTCTTAAAATAAAGGGATAAGGGATCTTTTGGAAAAGGCTGTATTTTCCGAAAGATCCGCGTCTAGAATGGTGCTTTTTTCCAGCAAAGCTCCGTGCCGAAAAAAAGCGGCGGCCATTTTTATGCTAATGAAGCGGGGGAGATTTAAATCCCCAGTTCATTAGCAATTGCGATACGTCTAATTTGCATCGCTTTTACAAAAAAGGGATGCAATCTAGACGTAGCCTTGGAGTGAATTTCAGGGAGCATGGTATCTGAACCAGTAACATAGTAACTTGAGAGAACTGAAGCTCATTTATAGAAACAATGCCAGTTAGTCTGCTTGGCAATTAAGGTGCTAAAGTGGGGTGCAGTCTTTCAGGGTACAGCCAATGTGTACCAATGTGTACAACTTGCAGAAATAAGAGTTACAAATATGGATTAGAGTTCTGATTCAAAGTTGGTCAGGAATCAGATTGGTTCATCTATTAGAGAGAAAAGATAGGGTTAGTTGCCAAACATTCCTAAATTTGAGGGTGGATTTGCTCCTAAATCACCTTCTGATTATATGCAAAGTGGTTTTGGCCCTTTCTTCCTGAAGGACACTGTATAAATATAGGATTTAGAGAGTCTAGTTCCGTGGTCCCCAACACGGTGCCCGCGGGCGCCATGGCGCCCGCGGGGGCATTTGTCGGCGCCCGCCAAGTGCTCAGGGCTGGCCTGGTCCTGGGCACGTGGCGCATGCATGGTGCCGGAGCCGGCCCCGGGTGCATGGCGCACGGTAAGCACCGGCCCCGGGATAACCTACACTTTCAGATGACAGAAGGGGGAAAAAAAGAACACAAAGTTTGTGGTTCCGTAGAGGATGTCAGAGAAAGTGGAGTATGCATGGTAGAGCCCAGGCTAGCCCCCTCAAGGGGCCAGGAGGGGGATCACCCACCAGGGAGGGCAAACGGCCACGCCCCCTGGCGCCCGGCAACCCCAAATGGTTGGGGACCACTGGTCTAGTTTAATAGCAAACTGCTTTTCAGTGGCCTGCAAACAGATGCAATAGAATATCAGCAGGAGCTTCAGTTTGTTGTCTGTTGGGTCATGTTAAAATCTCCATGGCCCATTTAATCCTCAGCATCTCTGATAATACCCATGAAGTTGCCTCTGAATGGTGGCAAGTATGTTGTGGAGACATCTCCTTTAGGCTTTGGACCATCTGGTAATTTCACACTGAGCCATCAGAGAGCATGGATTTTAATTAAATGCCGAATTAATTTGTAAAACCAGAGAGAGAAGAAATAGGGAGTATAAATTCTAACATTTAGATTTTCAAAGCCCTCTAGAGTACAGCTTGCTTAAAATTTCTGCCAAAACATCTTCTTGACCCAGAAAATGTTTTTGACTAAATGGAAAGTTGCATTAGAAAATGCTTGTTTTCATTTTTAACAACTGACAAAGTTTTGGTTTTACAACAGAAAACTGATGTGTCTTTTTATGTCCAATGTTCTTTGAAAATTTTCAGTGAAAATGGAAAAACTTTTTTGTTCCTTTGAATTTTTTTATGGAAATTTTAGACACCTCATCTTGTTAGTTGTAACAGAAGCTAGGTGTCTGTCTAATGTAAACTGCATTGGACATCTCAACCTAAGTGAATAGATTTTTTTTCATCGTATTGTATATATCATAACTTTTGTGCTTAGATTTGCAGTTGAATTAACTTCCTTAAGTAATCAGCTATCTAAAATAAAATGAATGGAGGTTCATATGCACTCCTCTGAAGAAGTGGGTTGTGTTCATAAAAGCTCATGATACTACATATGTATTTTTGTTTGTCTCTAAATTAGAGCTACAGAACCACGTGTTGTTGTTTTTTTTTAAGTGATAGACTAACATGGTTACCCCTCTGAGACCTTGAAACATGTAACTCAGAATGGCTCATGTAACATTGCTGCCACCTCCTGGTTTTATTTAGCTAATACAGATTTAAGAGCCTCAAGATACAATATTTATGCAGGGCTGTGACCACCATCAAAAGCAGTTTGAGTGTCATGTGGTAGATTGGGGATATGATGATAAACTTCAGTGACCATGGCAACTGAGCCAACATATGTGTGTCTAATAATGGAAACATGAAAATATGCATAGGCACTGGGGCCTTAGTGACACACAGGACAGGAATTGGGGAACATTCATTCATCGTCTTGTTTGTTTGTAAAGTTTCTCATTTCCCAGTTTTGATGTGTGTCTTGGGAGTGGGTACAATTTGAAGACTAAAGCTCAAGAGAGCAAATGGTACTCCTGGGGTCAAATCCTGGCCTGACTGAAATCAATGGCCATTGAAGAAAGCCTGAATTTCACCCCTTTGTTCTCAGAGACTGATCCTGTGTGATGCTGGGTAAGACATTAAACCTCTGAGGTAGCAGTACCTGCCTCAGGTGGCTTCCAGTTTTCCATCGAAGTTTTCCTTTGCTTGTGTCAGCTTGCTATTAAGTTTTATCCTGCCTGGAAAAAATAGTCCTCCTGACTCGTTAGGGTGAAATCCCAGCCCTAGTGAAGACAGAGGAACTTTTCCTGAATATTTCATTAGGACCAGAATATTTCAGTGTATATATCCTTCAATTATATAATGTTTGCATCTATTTTCAGGAACCCTTGCACCTTTTGATCAAAGTGAAATATAGACTCACGTTAAGGAAGGGTGACATCTTGTATTAGACAAACCTAAGGGGATAGAAACTGTACTGATGCTGAAAAGTTAAACTAGCAAAGCATTGATTTGGGGAGGCATGTTGTTCTCTGCTTTAGGGATTTTTTCCTGTTTGCAAACCTACCAATAAAAGAAGCTTGAACAGTTTCCACATTTAATCCCCTTTTATCCATCCAATGGTATTCTTAGCTCTGTAATACCGTGTTTTATGTAGAATCATCCAACAGCCTGCGTAGTATCTAAATGAGTAGAATGATATCAACCATAATTGATAATGGGCAACATTCAAAAATGTGTATCTTTTCTCATTCTGTTTTTCTTAAGTGTTGGACATGTATTCCCTTCTGTTTTCCAAGTAAAGGCAAAATCATATGTCTGGGATTCCACCCTTCCCCAAAAAATTATATTTAAAATTGTTTTCAGTATCTGCCCTTCACAAGAGTTTTAATTCTAGCTCTTCAGACTTAGACGGTGAATCTATTTCATTTGCTAGTGTTTTGATTTGTGGTAGCAGAGGTAAATGAGATTATCTGCCCCTTGAGATAAACTTTCAAAGATGAGAGATGGAAAATTGGGTTCTACAAACATGTTAACATGGCCTCAATTTAAACCCGAGTGATGAAAACATACGTAATAAAAACTAATTCTTTTTCAAGTGATGGTCCATTTGTGTATTGCATCATATATGTATTCTGCACGTGAGAAATGCATATGCACCATGTCTTTTGGCCTACACATGTCATAACTCTCTCTCCCTATGCTCCAAACCAAGGAAATGCCTCTCTCTGTTTCCTTCTTACAACTGCATAGGTAATGGGTCTGAGCAGGAATCTTTGATATCCTCAGCACATTTTTTGCTGTGCCATTGCTGAAAGATATTGTATATTCAGAGTTTTTGTAATCTTGCTAGTTTAGTCTACGTAGAATAGTTAGAAAGGGTTGACCCT